AATAATGTCACAGAACTGACATAGATTTGCCTCAAATGACACAATTAAGCCGACAAACCATACCGTTTCCGCTCCGATGAGTTGCAGAGTTCACTTGCTTTTATCGAAGATACTCCGTAGTTCAGTTCAACCGCTAAAATATTGCTACACCAGCCGACACAACATCAAATCTAAGATATAGGTAAATGCATAAAGTTTTGTACAGATAACTACACATATAAACAATAAAAGTAGGAGATAATCAGATAAAACATGGACAGAGCAGAGTACGGAAAATGAATATGAAAATTCACATCGTCTAATTCATCATGGGGAAAATTATAAAAATGAATTTGTATGCATGTATAAGTATAGGACGGCCATTGAAATATTGATGATGGAAATGATGAAGAGAGTGATCAGAGGACAGAAGAGCCGCCTTAATCTTACAAATCGAGGACGACGACGGTTTTTAAAGAGCTTTTGCATTCACCGGAGAGTCGTCGGAGCAACGCTGAAAGTTCTAGGTTAAAACTCGCCGTAGAAGAAAGGTAGATTTTGTTCTTTGAACTCCGCGAGACATGAGCACTGGACTACTGGAATCTGAGGAGCTGAAAGAATTCGCGGTGCGGATGTTTAACTGCGTTGATAGATACTATACAACTCGGTGCATAGCAATCATGGTGCTCCGCCTATAGCTATCTTACACGTGTGGACACGATAATCTCAGCAGTTGCTTCGGTATGGTCCTTCAGTAATTGACACGATGTAGCCAACTTAATAGCATCCTCAATTGTGTAATTTTTAATACAAATTTTTAGGTACTTACTAGACGTCTAGAAGAGAACATGGAAAGAGAAAGGAAAGAAAAAAAAACAGTAGCATGGAAAACGCGCCCGAGTAGGCGTGCCCGGTGTGCCTCAAACGCACCAGGGAGCTGCTTTGTTTTTTGGTGGGGTTTACTATACCTGCAAAAATTTAAGTAGTTGCAAGAGCACCTTGAACACTTTCTCTCCTCCCTCTCTTTCATCCATCTAAGTTTTGAAACCTACAAAAATCTCCCCATCCACCATTAATGATGATATTCTAACTAATTATGATTTATGAAGTCACCGTATATGAGATAAATTGTTGGATGAAACTATATATGTTATAAATTATTTAACATACTTATACATTAGTGTTTGTAGGACAGTCAATTTCATATCTTATCTTTAATTTGTATGAATCAAACCACGTATTTCATCCCAGGACGACTTATAACTGATAACGTCCTTATAGCCTCAGAAGTAATCCACTACCTAAACCGCAAGAGAGACGGGAAGACCGGTTGGTGTGCTTTAAAGTTGGACATGGTCAAAGCTTACGATAAAATGGAATGGCGGTTTCTCGAGGCAATAATGGAACGGATGGGTTTTGATCGTGGTTGGATCGAGCTTATTATGTTATGTGTCACTACTGTGCGTTATAAGGTGGCAGTGAATGGTACTCTCACTGATTTTGTTATCCCGACGAGAGGCTTGAGACAAGGAGACCCACTCTCTCCTTATCTATTTATTCTATGTGCGGAGGGGCTATCACATTTATTAACAAAAGCGGTGCAAGACGGTCGAACATCCCCTTGTATTGTAGCACGAGGTGCCCCAGGTATTTCCCACCTATTCTTTGCAGATGACAGCCTCTTGTTTTTTAAATCAACTGTGCAAGAGGCGGAGGTGATTAAAAGTTGTTTGCATGATTATGAACATATGTCAGGCCAGACTGTTAATTTTAACAAGTCATGCATAGTGTTTAGTCGAAATGTAGAGACGCCAATGCAACAAGCAGTAGCTGATGTTTTTGGTGTTACTTCGAATGAGACCATTGGGAAATATCTAGGTCTTCCACTTGGCATTGGAAGAAATCGTAAAGAGGTATTTTCGTTCATTGAGACGAAAATGAAACAACGGCTAGGTGGTTGGTGCAAAAAGATCCTATCCAGAGCTGGCAAAGAGGTATTACTCAAAAGTGTAGCTCAATCACTTCCCACGTACACTATGAGTCTATATTATCTTCCGGTCACTTTTTGCGAGCACATTGAGCGCATGATGAACAAGTACTGGTGGCTCTCTAAACAAAATCGAGGGGGTGGTATTCGTTGGTTATCATGGAACAGAATGTCCATGGCAAAGTCAGAGGGTGGTCTTGGTTTTAAGAATCTGCATAAATTTAATGTGGCACTACTAGCAAAACAAGGATGGCGAATATTGAGTAATCCCACATCTATGGTTTCACACATGTATCAAGCACGATACTTTGCTGGAAAATCATTCCTTGAGGCGGAAATTGGAGCAAATCCGAGTTATTGCTGGAGATCGTTGTTGGCAGGACAATCAGTTTTAAGGACTGGTTGCTATCTGAGGATAGGGGATGGTCGATCAACTAAAGTCTGGCATCAACCGTGGCTTCCCGATAAAGATGACCCATATGTTCACACGGAGGTGGTAAGTGATGACATTGAGAAGAAAGTTGAAGCTTTGATTGACCCTATCACATCTGACTGGAATGTTGATATGATTAGAGCAATGTTTATTCAAAGAGATGCTGATTTAATCCTATCTATTCCAATTTCACCCGAGAGTCCTGATATGTGGTGTTGGCGCGATGATTTACGAGGTATTTATTCAGTCCGTAGTGGATATCGTTTGCTGAATGATAACAACCACCACCTTAATTCTTCTTTCTCAGCTTGGAAAGAATTGTGGCGTTTGAAGATTCCACCAAAATTCATTAATTTCATCTGGCTATGTGCTAGGAACGTCCTTCCTACATTGGTTTCTTTGGCTAATAGAGGTATGAATGTTGATACTCTATGTCCTATCTGTCATGTTTGTCCAGAATCAATGAAGCATATTTTTTTAGAGTGTCATGAAGTAACTGGGGCTTGGGGAGGAATCTGCGATCTTACGGCATTGCATGCTGATCTTAACTTTGAACAATGGCTTTCAGATTTATTCAAGCAATATGACAATAGTAAGCTGCTGCGTTGTATTGCTATTTGCTGGAGTATTTGGAAAACGAGGAATGAGTGGGTTTGGAATAGGAAGTTGTGGCATGTGGATGAGATTACCCGTATGGCTATAGGCTATTATAATGACTGGCAGAATCTTTCTTTGCATGGGGCAGACGTGGTGATGTATGGCTATGTTAATCAAGGTATGCCTAGCAATTCAAATATGTCTCTAAACATACCTTTTTTGGCAGTAATGGTGGAAGTTGATGCCTCTCTACCACCTGGTGGCACAGATGGTTTCTATGGCATAATAGTTCGAGATAGCAATGGTGGTTTCATTGCAGCGAGAAGTGGACCAATTCGTTGTCTTAAAGACCCTCATCTTGCAGAGACTTTGGCTGTTAAGGAAGCTCTTTCCTGGACTCTTGAACAAGGCTGGCATAACATTCTTCTAAAATCAGACTGTCAGTTGGTATGCAAGTTTCTGAATAATGACTTACTAGATCATTCTTATGCAGGTTGCGTTCTCAAGTATTGCCGATCTCTTAAACGACACTTTGAATCAGTGTCCATTCAATATATCAATCGATCAGTGAATAAGCTTGCTCACGTGTTGGCTAGAGCTGCTAGTTCTCATACTGGTCATCTTAATTGGTTTTCTAATATCCCTTCTTGTATTGAACATTTAATTGCTTGATTTTATTGAAATATTTTCCTTTCAAAAAAAAATTATTATTTTTCTAGATTGATTAATCAATTAGAGCTCGATTTGGGATAGAAGGGTTTATCCAACCATTTTTAAGTGAAAAATGATATATGGACTCCTTGGAGTAAATTCTGATGTGCCGTGATTTTATTGCTAGAAGATAAACATTGCAATAAAAGTTATGGGCAACTCTTTTTTTTTTTTTGATGAATCCTAACATGTGATTTTATTGATAGGAGATATATAAACATTATAGTAAAAATTCTATGAGCCACACTCTTTTTTCTAGATGAATCAGAACATGCTACATAAGCATGGCGTAAAAAATGGAGTAAAAATTGAAAGTATATGTACAATTTTTTTTAAAGTATATATTTATATAATATTGTGATTGAAGCGGTTCTTAACTTAAGAAAGGTGTTAGTCTTGACGAGTTTATTTATTTGATAAATAAAAATTGAAATAAAAATAAAGATTGAATAACTAACCAAACTACACTCAGAAGTTCCCGTCAAGAGGGCGGTCCAAAATTCCAATCTTAATTAATCACATGATGGCGGAGCGCAATCAAGGGGGTAACCACTAACCAATGACTTTGATTTCATGCTTACCACTTACCAAGTTTGGTATATATTGGTACCACAATCAATTTCCTGGTCCTCCATGCAATTGCAGAGAACCTCATGCCCTTCATCCCAAAGAATGGTTTTTTTTTTTTTTTTTTTTTTTTTTTTTTTTTTTGAGTATCACTGGCTCTATTACATTGTAGTATCTGTTTATCTATACTTTCTCAATTTGTTAAAGTACAAAGAGTCAATACCGCCTTTACTGAGGCTCGATCTCATGACCTCCCATGCATATAGAGGAGACTCACTACATGTCATATGATCCCAAAGTGCTTGGCATGGTTTTTATTTTAAAGCGATTGATCATGTGAAACACCCCTTCGATTAAACTTGTCACCCAACAAAAAAATGACATTTTTTTTTTGTGTGCCGAAATACAAGGCATTTGAAGATCCGCCAAACATGTAAAGATGTTTGATGTTAAAAGTCTTGATTATGAGATTTGAATTTTTAGTAAGGTTATGTGATAATCTCTCTTTAAATTTGTAGTAGAAATTTTCGCTGAAATGTTGTGTTTAGTTGTGTAAATTGGTCTTGTATGCATATTCATCAATTGTACCATTAGTTGAGTTGTAATAGATAGAAAAATCACGATTTTGTAAGAAATTGAATTTTGAAGTATTTTTACATCCATATTCTGAACAACTAAAAAATGTAAATAAAAAATTAAAACACTTGTAAAAAAAAAAAATCCATATTAAAGCAAAGGTATGATCTATATATAGAAGGACGAATATATATACTCCGTATAATAAACCTAGATCTAATACTGAGTTTTCAGTAACATACACAAGAAATCAAACAATTAAACCATCCATTAAGCCACCTTCCCAAACTTGATGAACTCCAGGCGATCATTTTCCAATGGCGTCAAGTTCAAATCCACGCACAAAACTCTCCGGCCACTGGACGGCTTCTTGACCACAGGAACGCCGCCGGGAGGAGAAAGAGCAAGAGAATCGCCGCCGTTTAGGGAAACATCATTCCCAGCCGCTCTGTGCCTTCTCATGTGTCCTCCCAGTGCTTGTCCAATGGCGAACTCCAGGCCGCATATGGAGCACTCGTGCGTCTTAGGTTTGGGCGGCGAGCTCGGCGGCAACAGGGCCACCGGCTCCCCTGCCGCCGCCGCCGCCGTCATCATCCTCGGCCGCTTGTGGCTGGCCCGGTGCCCGCCCAGCGCCTGGAACGACGAGAACTGCCGGTTACACGTCTTGCACTCGAAAACGCGGCTGCAGAGATCGCCGCTGCTCATCGTCAGGTAACTGTTTCCGCCGCCGTCGGAGGCGGCGGCGGAGAGTAACATCAAACCGTTCGCCACGGTGGTTACGTGGTGATCAAAATCTTCTCTTGCTCTCTTCATCATGAACGGATTCGTCATGATATGGTTTTGAATATAATTAGTTGATAATAAAGTTTTTTTTTTTTTGTTGTTGTTGAATGAAGAAAGGATTGAAGGAAAGGAATGGGGATTTGGGAGGAGAATTTATAGAGTGGTTGGAGATGGAGAGTTTGACTAAGTTGTTTACTTGATCGACCTGTACGTGTTTATTTGGCAATGACGAGGGCAGGGAGGGAGGGACGTTTCTTGTGGGATAAGTAAGTTAGATATGGGTGGCACTAAGTGGGAATTATTTCACTAGTTTTTGTTTTACTTTCTTCATTCAATCTATTAGTTGCAGCTGCTTACGTCTCTTATTGGATCTATCTATCCGTCTCTCCTAGGAAGATAATATATCTTAATCACCCCATAACTTGTTATACTTAAAAAGGAAAGTCTGCAGTTGTTATCGGAATGTGTACTTTGAGTGAAGTTAATTACGTATACAAATTAAAGAACGAAGTAAATTAGCGTCCACACGGGCTTAACTAAGTTTGAATCTTGACGACGACACTGTGTGGATGATTATGTCCAAACTGAGCAGATCCTTGTGCGCACTGGCGTTTGGCTCTGTCAGTTGAATCATTGAGTAGTCATCGTGATTTACATTCTCTCAAATGTTCTATCAGGCCAGTGAGTTACTGTGATTGCCAAGGTGTGGAAGGCCCTTGGAGTTATTGATTCAACCTTTTGGGAGAAGAAGTAAATCAGCAGGGTAACATCAGTTTAAATTGGGTCTTCTTGATTTGAATAGGTCATGGATAACTTAAGTTGGTTTACCTCGGTCTTTAGTCAGCAAGGGGTTTACTTAATGCACACCCTCGGATATAGTAGCAAATTGCTTTCATAACGAGTAGAACTTGAAATTTTGTGATTAATAAATCAATAACTCGACAAACTCGATTGTGATTGCACCTTGTTATAGCTTGATTAATACGCTGTAATATTTCCCATACGCGGAGAGGGAATAATGCCGCGGCGCCATTCAAGTTCAATCCAAAGACCATGCATGTGAAAACGGCTTCTCTCGCAGCTATACAAGTCCGCTAGTTAGTTTACACATAATGTATAATATAATTATGGAATTGACTGACTTTTTTTTTTAGGTATGAAGTGTGAAATAATACAATTAATTTTCAATCGGTACGTGTATGCAACTCGAACTGCAATATGGTCAATATTATTTTGGAATTAATTGATTGAAACTGGACATATATATCACATATATGTGTATTGATATTGGATGGCTTGAAATATATATATATTTTTTCTTGTTATTGGGTAGTAGTTTACTAGTTTTTCATCACTCCAAATACTTAAATATCCCACCATCAGGGTTGTGTCTTATGTTAAAGTGTAACATTTTTTAGACCAAATCCATCATTAATGACGATTCTGGTACCACTGTACAATTTTAAGTGTTCTGAATCAGATCACCTTTTCAAGATTAATAACTTTTGTAGGGGAGTTCTAAATTATCACTTTTTCCAGATCACATTCAGATTAATTTCACAGCCCTATCAGATACAGTGCATCAAGAAATTTTTTTAAAAAAAATTATTGAGCTGTCGTCCACCACGTAAGCGTGACTGTGATGCTTAGCAGTGCAAATGCTGAATCGAGAAGAGTCATAGTCGTGAGTAGTGATGACTCATAGTCTGCACGCCAATCCGTAAGCCACGCTGACAATTAGCGTAACTTTCCTACACTATCATCCATTGTCTAGACGATTTAATTTCCGCTCTCTTTAATTTTCCACTAGGGGGGTCGCTATGTGTGAAAAACGCAATCCAATTCATATTATCCATCACTAACAGATGGGGATTAGCAGCGTGAGGGAGCGTTTTCACCATGTGCATGGTAAACACCTTATAAATTTATAATATTTATATTGTAGATTCATAAAATTTATGATGTAGATTCATAATTTCTATATTGCACATTCATAATTTCTGTATTGTAGATTCACAATATCTATACTGCACATTTATAATTTCTGTACTGTAGATTCATAATTTCTATACTGTAAACTCATAAAATTTATTATGTAGATTCATACAGTACATAAATTATGAATCTACAGCATGTCCACCATGCACATGGTGGACACGGGACCATAGCATAATTTGCCACGTTTTAGGCCCCGTTTAATAACCTAGTTAATTTATCAGTTAATTTTGACTTATTTAATTATTATTATTAACTGTTTGACTTGGTTACAACAATTAATATAAACGTTTGATTAATTAAATTTTTGTAACATCTTATTATTTCAAAACGCTAAAATTTAAAAAATTGTTCAAAGCAATTTTTTTAATATGTTTTTTTAGAAAATCATTTTACATGTAATGAGCTATCAACTAATGATTAATTTACTAAACATCTTTTTATAATCAACTAATGTTATCAACTAATCAAACCTCCCATCAATTAACAGTTATCAACTAACACTATTTATGAATCGTACAGTTAAAATATGTTTCGTCGTACGTCACTAGGTCGGAAAAATACATGTTGTAGAAGATATGCGTGCTGCTACTATGCAGTTGGGGATTTGCGGTATCAAGTATATTTTCAAAGATACGGCGCACTGGCTAGGATATATAGCATCTAACTGTACTACTTGGAATAATGGAAAGTACCCTTCTTGTTTTCACATTTTACAGAGTTTATTCTACATTTGATTTCTTGATAATAATTTTTTTTTTTTTGGTCATCAATTTTCATTTGTTTCACTTCTAGATAACGTGCTACGTAGAATAAAAATAGCTAGCCTCCTTATTTTCACACGCAATGGATATCTAGATAATATTGACATTTTAATTTTTGGTCATTGAATTTTATTTGTTTGATTTTTAGACACCATTTTACTTTTAGTCCAAAGGACTATTAAATACAGATGGTGAGTGTGTAACAAATGGTGAGGTGTCCACTGGTTGATTGGTTAATCTCCTTAATAATTGGAAGAGGGAATTGAAGATGTATGGTGAGAAGTTCAATCTTGTCACCCTTTCGGAGAGCATACAGAGAGACAAATAATCTTATGAAGAGTTTCTTTGGCAGAGATATAGCTTATTTTAAACAACTAATAAACTATAAGCTCTGACAAAGTAAGTTTATAGTTTAAAATAATAGCTTATTTTGGAACGCTACCTAAGGTAGCATTTCAAAATAATAAGCTTGTAGCTTCCTAACTTTTTTTTTTTTTTTTTTTTTAACATCTTTGTCCTTATTATTTTAAAGAAATGGCACTTTTATCATTCTCATTTATCCACAACTTTCACCGTAATTATTATTATTATTATTATTATTATTATTATTAGATGAAGGAGATTCGCAACAATATTGCTACTTTATTATGGGATGTTAGATCATGATTACGTTAATAATTTTATTTCAAAATGTTAATTTTTTTTTAAAGACAGAATGTTAAATTTTAATATATAAACAAACTAATTTAAATTTTATGAAAATGTCATTTTTGTCTTTTTACATTTATTAACTTATCAAAAAGTTAATTTTACCAAACACTTTTAAATATAACAACTAGATTAACCGCTCTTTAATTTTCAGCTCTTAGCTTATAGCTTTCCAACTTTCAGCTCCTTTTCAATTAGGTTTACCAAACATAGTCTCTTTTTTGCATGGACATGGAATGTAGCTATTTGTTTGTTATCTAATTTCTCATCGACTGATTTGTAGGGGTGATAGTGCAATGGGGCTTGTTAGCGGGGAGAGGGTCGTTGCAGACTTGCACCGCACCTAATATGGATATCTGTTTGATATATTTTTAGAGTCCCCACTCCTTCATTAAAACCCTTAATGACGGAGCTCTCTCAATTACACAATAGTATTTAATTTACACTTTTGCTTTTCAACTTTGATATATCCACTATAACCATGTGAATTAAATGACATGAGTTTCTTCTAGTTTAAAACGAAAAATTATATTTGCACCATCCTATTTGCTATTTACACACACTTATTTAATAAGTGTAATAACTTTATAGGTGGTGCAAATACAAAAGTGCTATTTGCACCACCTCATTAAATATAATCAATCATTAATTTTATTATTTATTTTTATTTAATGATCAAATTACTAAAAAAAAAAATACTTCTCCGGTGAGAAGGTGATGGGCTGCCTTTCTCACCGGAGAAGGCAGCCCATCTAGTGGGTCGCCTTCTCACCGGAGAAGGCGACCCGGGTTGCCTTCTCCGGTGAGATCGAAGGCAACCCACTAGATGGGCTGCCTTCTCACCGGAGAGGGCAACCTGGCAACCCACTGGATGGGTGCCTTCTCAGCGGAGAAGACAGATTCTTCTTTTTTTTTTTTTTTTTTTAATTTTTCCTTTTTAATATTTTAGTTAATTAATGTTTTAATGAGGTTTGACCATGGTGTAAATTGCAATTGGAATAAGGGTCAAATAGGCCATCGAACTGCACAGGATAATGCAATTAGGCCACTGAACCTAAAAAACCAACAATTAGGTCCCTAAACTAATCAATTTCAAACAATTCTTCCAATTTCAAGGTTTCCAACAGGTCAACAGGTCATCCTCTCAAATTAATTATTTTTTTAAAAAAATAAATTTTAAAAAATAATTAATTTTAAATTTTGTTTAAAAAAAAAAAAAACATACGTTGTCTCCGGCCAGTCCAGTTTTTTTGTTTTTTTTTTGTTTTTGTTTTTTTTTTGTTTTTTAAATATTTTTTTAAATTTAAATAATTAATTTTAAAAATTTATTTTTAAAAAATAATTAATTTGGAAGGATGACATGTTGACTTGTTGGAAACCTTCAAATTGGAAGAATTGTTTGAAATTGGTTAATTTAGGGACCAATTGTTAGTTTTTTAGGTTCAGTGGCCTAATTGAATTATTGTGTGCAGTTGGATGGCCTATTTGACTCTTATTCCATTGCAATTTGAAGATCACTTTGACTATTTACACCACCTATATAATTATTAAAATTTTTTAACTTTTTACATTTTCAAGGTACTTTATACCCTATTTTGGTCAAAGGGTGGTGCAAATAGCAACACCCTTTAAAACCATGAGAAATTATTTTGCCACCCTTTAAGATTTTCTGCACGAGCATGATTAGTCTCGGTATATAATTGTTTAATTTGTCGACTGACTAAGTAAAATATGTGATTAGAGTTTTTTTTTTTTTTTTAAATAAAATAAAGTATTTGTGGAAATTGTGTTTACATAATATTTTTATAGGTAAATTTGTTTAACTAGACTAGCTAATTTGGCATGGAAGTCAACCAAGTACTATGCATTTCCTTGAAGATGAGGAAGCTTGTTTTAATACTTCTAGTAATGTCTTTAGGGTACAATTTGGTGTCAATGATAAAAAATATTCTTTTAATTCATGTGTCATCATCCTTATCATTATCAAATTTAATTGAAAAATATTATTTTTAAAAATAAAAGTTGTTAGTAAGCTAGCAGATCAGAATAGGTAACATAGAAACAAGAAACGAAATACAATATATGATATAAAAAATGCAGACTACAAAACTAAACGGAAAAACGTATAAAATATAAAAGTATTGGAAAGTCAATAGTATTGACTGGCATTGATGTCTCTTGCGCCCGGTGCAATTAACCCAAAAGTTTTAAATAAAATTTTACGGAGTAAGAATCTACCATATACTAAGAAAATAAGAGGCACCCGTTCCAATCAACACTTTACAAATTTTCATAATATATTTCTAAATTTTAAAAATATGTAGATAAATATTCAATGGTCTTGTTTGGTAACATAGTTAGCTTATTAACAAATTTTGATTTACTTGATCACTATTAGCTATTTAACTTGGTTAACAATCAAAATGAATGTTTAATTAATTAATATTTTATAACAGTTTATTGTTTCAAAATACTAATACCCCGTAGACTTTGATTCAGTATCATTATTGCAACTTTGATACTCCATCCGTGTTATCGAAATTTGACTTCCGATTGCCATATTATTGGTCAAATTTAAATTTGGACAAAAATCAAATAAAATTAGCCATTACGTACTAACGACGTGTATGATGACTTGGAGTAAAACGTCATTAAGACGACAATAGTAAACTTCAGTTTTTTTTTTTTTTTTTTTTTTTTAAGCAAGAAGGAAGATAATTAAACATAGACACGAAATATGAAAATTACACCATGCACCATATAACTCCAATAACAAAAGAAAAAAAAAAAATTGTTTGGGGAGGAGTTAACTTGATGAAAACCCCAATTCAAATGATAATATATAGTAGGTGACAACACATGACTCATGTAGTGAGGACATGTTCAATTGAGAACACCATTCATATAAAAAGTACATATTTATCTCATGCATTCATCTATCGGGTTGATCAAGGTCGGAAATTAAAGAGAATGGAAACAAAATGTAACGACATTTGTGTAATTACGATGATGCATTTAAAAACGACTTATAGTGCATTCACAAATAACTAGTAGTGTATATACATAAGTACATTATTATACTCATTATTAGAGCATTGTCAGTTATTCGCGAATAACTATTAAGCATTTTTCAAATGCACCATCATAATTATAAAAGTTGTCACTAATTTTTTTTCTTAATTCACACACACATACACACAGGAGAAAACAGCCCGCCCAGGAGAGAACTGAGAATCATTTAGCGCCGTCTACGTGTCCAGATCAACGAATCAGATGTAATTTTTAAAAAACTATGCGGTGGTATTTTCATACACACACACATGATCGTGTTCAGGTGCGAACTGCCCGTCCAGGAGAGAACTGAGAACCATTCAACGCTGTCCACGTGTCCAGATCAACAAATCAGATGTAATTTTTAAAAAATGATGTGCTGGTATTTCTGTAAATAACTCGAACTTTGGTGCATGTAAATGTGTTATAAGTGCAAGTAGTTTGTGCAACTTTGCAAGTAAAAAGTACAGGTAAAATCACTTACAAGTGCACCTATTTTCACTTCCAAGTGCATGTAATTTTACCTTGATAACATTCATACACCTAGGTGCAACTACTTATAACTATAGGTGCACCTAGTTATAACATTAGATGCACTTAATTTTGATGCTGAGTATACATTTTACTTGAACTTGTAATGCATTTTATTTGCACTTCGATGTTCAATTATTTACGAAAATGTCACCGTATTTTTTTTTTAAATCAGTATTTCTCATCCCTTAGATCTGGACACGTGGATAGCGCTGAATGGTTCTCAGTTCTCTACTGGGCGATATATATATATATATATATATATATATATATATATATTTATTTATTTATTTATTTATTTATTTATTTATTTATTTATTTATTTATATGTAGTATAAAATGATAACAAAATCCTTATGTAAAAAGTGATAATCTCAGTTGTCAATCAAGATTTATAAATGGACGAGAGTTTTAGTAAAGAATAATAATACGTATGAGGTCAATTTTATAATTATTAAACACTTTCAAGTTTTCAATGTTTATTTAAAAAAAAAAACTCCACATTTTTTTTTATTTTTCAACAATTTTCAATCGTTGATCTACCCAAATGGATGGGTCATATTAATCCTCAATTTTTACGTAGAAGCATGTTCTCACTTGATAGGCATATATCAAATAGGCATGAATTGTGATAACTATAAGGTACATTGAATTTGACTTAATTAAATATCAATGGTTTTACTTTAAGCTGCATAATTATCTCATGGTTACCAAAACTGATAGCAAACAATTTCTTGTTTGGAAAATTACTAACCATTGATTATATATTTATATCCAAGCTAGTAGCTAGTCCAACGTTTTGACTGTGAGTGATGGTGACATGATCACGATTTATTAACCATTAATATTCACTAAGTAATTAAATTTTGAAATTAAAGGCAATCAAAGTGCCTTCTTTTTACGCAGGGAGCAGGAGGGAGGTAGTACTGATGTGACGATGCTAGATGGCTCAAAAAACTTGTTTTCGGCGGGTTCTGGATCACAGACCCGCCCGAGCTAATGAGTACGCTGAGTTGGAACTGCCGTGGTTTGGGTAATCCACGGACAGTTCGTGAGGTGGTGGACATGGTGTCCCGTAAGCAACCCGACTTTCTATTTCTGATGGAGACTAAAGTAGCAAGAGATCATGCAGAGCGACTTCGTGTTACGATGGGGTTTGAGGGTTTGTTCTATGTTGATAACGATGGCTTAAGTGGAGGATTAGCGTTATTGTGGAGAAAGAATAATACGGCAAGATTACTGAGTTATGCGAAGAACTATATTGATATTGAGGTCACTATGACAGGTTATCCGCGCTGGAGGATGACGTGTTATTATGGCTTCTCAGAACGTAGTCGTCGTGCCGAGTCTTGGAACGTGTTGAGGACCCTTGCGGCAAAATCGAATCTCCCTTGGATCGTGATGGGGGATTTTAATGACTTATTATATCAGTACGAGAAGAGGGGAGGAAATCCGCATCCAAATAGCCTTTTACGGGGTTTTGGAGACACATTAGAGGATTGTGGCCTAGCGCAACTGCCGATGGTGGGATATCCATATACCTGGGAGAAGGGGAAGGGAACTGTGAATTGGATTGAGGAGAGACTAGATAAGGTTCTGGTGACGGATGGGTGGCGTAACGTGGTTCCCCATGCTAAAGTTACGAATCTGAGAACCAGAAAGTCGGATCATTCTGCTATTTTCTGTGGAATTAATGAGGAAGTACGGGTGAATGGAGCAAGAAGGAGGGGATTTCGGTTTGAGATGGCCTGGTTGTACGATGAGGGATGTAGGGGAGTAGTGGAGCAAGCATGGGACGAGGGAAGAGGGCAGGGGTTGCAAGAGTGTATTCAGTACTGTGGAAACCGGTTAACACGCTGGGGTGGGGATCGGTTCCATAAGTATGGGAGACAGATTCTAATGCTGAAAAAGGATCAGGAACGGTTGAGGGGTCGTACTGATGCGGCTTCACTTGCTGAATTCCAGCATATTGAGAGACTTTTAAGCAGAACGGAGGCCCAGGAGGATGCATACTGGAGGCAGAGAGCCAAGCAGCACTGGCTCAAGGAGGCGGACTCCAACACGAAATTCTTTCATAGGTATGCCTCGCATCGTAAGAAAAAGAATACTATATCTAAGATAATGAATGATAATGGGGATTGGTTGGAAGGGGAACTTATGAGAAAAAATATTTTGGATTATTTCAACAATATTTTCACTTCTGGGACTCCGGGGACAGGGGAGGAGTTCTTTGGGAAGGTAGAGAAACGGGTATCACAGGCACAGAATGACTCTCTATTACAATCCTTTACGGTGGAGGAGGTGAAAGATGCATTGTTTGCGATGTATCCTGATAAGGCTCCGGTCGCGGATGGAATGAACCCGGGGTTTTATCAGCACTTTTGGGATGTAGTGGGAGGGGATGTGGCGAGCTTCGTGATTAATTGTGTTGAAACGTGTGAACTTCCGCCTGGCTTAAATAATACGGATATTGTGCTGATTCCAAAGAAGAATAACCCGGAGATGGTAACTGACCTGCGTCCTATTGCTCTTAGTAATGTGGTCTACAGAGTTATTGCGAAGATAATGACTAATAGAATGAAACCATTGATGGATGATATAATATCTGAGTCACAGAGTGCTTTCATTCCGGATAGGTTGATAACGGATAATATTTTGCTAGCAGCGGAGGTAGGCCATTTTTTGAACAGAAAACAGTGTGGATTAGGGGGATGGGGTGCACTTAAGCTAGACATGGCAAAAGCTTATGACCGGATGGAGTGGCCCTATCTTCGTAACATGATGATGGCGTTGGGTTTTCATAGGAACTGGGTGGACTTGGTTATGAAATGTGTAACTACGGTTTCCTATAGTATCCTGGTGAATGGCTCTAGAAGTGATCCAATTATACCCACCCGTGGACTGAGACAGGGAGATCCGTTATCCCCATATTTATTTATTATCTGTGCGGAGGGACTTTCACTTATGTTGCAACAGGCTAACAGGGAAGGGCTGATTCATGGATGTAGAGTGGCGAGAGGTGCCCCCCAAGTCTCTCATTTATTTTTTGCGGATGACAGCCTATTGTTTTTCAAAGCTAAGGAGGAGGAGGCGAATGAGATTAAGAGATGTCTGACAGCATATGAGAACCTATCCGGACAGGTGGTTAACTACCACAAGTCAAATATTTGCTATAGCAGAAATACAGGAATTATTGACAGGGATAATGTGGCTCAGGTTTTGGGGGTGACACAGGCCCCGAATTTTGGCAAATATCTGGGACTACCCTCGTTTGTTGGAAGGAATAAGAAGGCAGCCTTTGCTTATATTGAAGACAAAATACGCCAAAGGATTGGGTCTTGGAATAAAAGATTACTATCCCAAGCAGGGAAAGAGATATTATTGAAAAGTGTAGCACAATCCATGCCTACCTTCTCAATGAGTGTCTTTCTACTACCACTATCAGTATGTACGGCAATTGAGAGGACCATGAATAGATATTGGTGGGACTCGGGAGGTGATAGACGAATACACTGGAAGGCTTGGGATAAACTTTGTGTCCCAAAGAAATATGGGGGACTGGGATTTAAGGATTTACGTGCATTTAATCTGGCAATGTTGGGGAAGCAGGCGTGGCGAATGCTCACTAAACCTGACTCTTTAGTGGCTCGTGTCTATAAAGCCCGGTATTTTCCTAAAGGAACGTTTTTTGATGCACAGGTTGGAAATAACCCCAGTTTCTGTTGGCGGAGTATTATGGCAGCAAAGAGTATAATTTGTAGTGGGGTCAGACGAAGAATCGGAAATGGGGAAACAACTTTTATATGGACCCACCCTTGGTTACAAGATGAAGACGACCCTATGATACGAACGGAAATGCCAGTACAATTACAAGGATCTAGAGTAAGGGGGTTAATAGATCAACAAACAGGAACATGGGATAATGACATTCTAACAGATTTATTCCAACCTGATGATGTGGGAAGAATTATGAGAATACCTGTCTCCCTGGACTACAATGATACATGGTATTGGCATGGGGTATTGGCATGGGGACCCAAAAGGACTATATTCTGTGAAGAGTGGATACAGGCGGATAGAGGGAGACTACGAGAGCCAAAGTGGCGAGTTTATGAATTGGCTATCTCTATGGCGACTCAAAATACCCCCAAAATGGAGAATGTTCCTTTGGAGAGCCATTTGTGATATATTACCCACTACTACAAACTTGCTTATAAAGAGGGTGGATGTGAGCCCTTATTGTGCCATGTGTGGGATATCACAAGAAGATACAATGCATGCTTTAGTCTTGTGTGACTATGCAAGAAACATTTGGGAACAATCAAACCTTCCAATCCCCAACATTGTCACGAATATTTTTCATGTTTGGTTTGAGGAACTTCAAAATGTTTTAGATTCTGATGGAATGTTATATGCAGCATCAATTCTATACAACATTTGGAGAGCGCGGAATCGAGCGGTGTGGGAGGCATGTCTGCCACGGCCACGCTCCATACTCCGAGCCGCTATGTCCGCCAAGGATGCATGGCTTATGACACGCCCGATTCGCCAACCAGCATCACTGCCCGCCAGTACCGGAACCGACGCTGCCGAGGCTGTCCATGGCGCTGCCGAGAATGGAATGCCGAGTTTGAGAAGGTGTCGGGTCGACGCAGGGTATTCACACGACACGGGAAGGGCCACCGTAGGGGCGGTTTTGTTCGATGCAAACGGAGAATATATATCGGCCTTCAACGCACCATTGTCAACTTGTTTGTCACCACTTATGGCCGAAGCCTTGGCATGCAAAGAGGCTTTATCATGGTTGAAGGGGAGAGGGGAGCAGAATATTGAGTTATACACGGATTGCTTGACATTGCAACGCTATCTTGCAACACCGACTACTACGATTCGCTCCTATGTGGGCTATGCTATTAATGACTGCAGGCAAATTGCCACTTTATTTCAGTATTGTTTATTTAAATTTATTCCTAGATCAGACAATTATTTAGCTCATGCATTAGCTACTACGGCTTATCAGCAAAATATTGCTATGTATTGGGATAGCCACCCACCAGACATTTTATCAGCATTTTTCTAATGAAGCACCCATATATTTTTCAAAAAAAAAAGTGCCTTCTTTTTAGGGACAATTTGATGTGATGTAGCTAGAGTTAAGTCAACGGTAACGTTGTTATCAAATTATATTTTAATTTGGGTTTTTTTTTTTTTAGTGACGAAGAAAACTCACATCTACTTGCGCGCTGGGTATTGACCACGAAGAATTTGGGTCTACTTTAATTAAAGATATTAGTAAAATTAGTTGTTACAAGAATCAAACTTGTGACGTTTTAATATAAAAATCATGCTTCACCCACCCAATTATCCTTTTCAGGACAAATTAAGATGCTTTTTGTTTATGAGTTGGGTGTAAAAGGCCAGTTTAAATTTTATCTACGCCAAATACAACCATTGCAGATTATGTAGATTTGCAATTAATTTAAACTAAAATTAACAATTGAAGAATGCGTTCTATTTCAACTAACAGGTTAAATTACAATATATTAATGCTTTAGATATTATATGCCCACTCATGACCTTTTGTATAGAACCGACTCTGATACCAAATTAAATGATATTTCAATCTCAATTGAGTTGTACATTTATTTGTAATATATTAAATTATTATATGCTCAAGTGCGCATAAGAGATATGCCCACTTTGAGCATAATTCCCACACTTTCACTATCAAAAAATTTGAACATTGATCTCTTCTCTCACATACTACTTACTAAACCAGTGTGTTAAGCACATACAAGTTGCTCAACAACAATTCTATTATGATCTAGATCGAGGTATGATAAAATTTTTAGCTTTAGAGAATAAACTATAATAAATGGTGTATAATTAATTTTTTGTTTTTTTAAAAAAAATTTTTGGCCATATGTTTTGTTTCTTCCTTGTCAAAACAGAAATGGTATTAGTGGACATTCTCACCTAACGAAATGCAGATGGAATTAGAGAGTGTCAAGCAAGGTGAATGTATTGGATGGATGGCCATGTGATTCATTCTGATTTATTAAGAAAGAAGAAAATCAACCCAAGCAACTAATGCAAGAATGATTGAATTAATAATGGCATGGAACCCCCCCACCCTCCCACCCCAACCCCCCAAACAACCAAAAGAACTTGATCTTGCATGTGTTACACGTCATACATAGTTAGATTTTTTATTTTTTATTTTTTATTTTTTATTTTTTATTTTTTTTAAGGTGTGGATGTGAATTGTATCAGTATTTTTGTAGTGGATATTGTGAAAATTTATGTAAACAATATTTGGTACTTGAGCTTTCAAAATGGATTTAACTCGTTTGGTTGGTTTGTCTTACTACATAATAAAGTTTTGCAATCGTTATGCGTTGGATCCGTGTCCAGCATGCTTGCTGGACACGGATAACAGTGCCATTAGACACTATTATCTTTTTTTTTTTTTTTTTTTTTAATTTCAGACTACTTCGTTACAGGAGTATATGTTCATAATTTTATTACTATATGTTAATAACTGTACATTCATAACTCCATAACTGTACATTCATAACTCTATAACTGTACATTCATAACTCCATAACTGTACATTCATAACTCCATAATTGTACATTCATAATTTTCGAAGCTTTATGTTCACAACTTTAGAACTCTATGTTCATAATTTTATCACTATATGTTCATAATTGTAAGTTCATAATGTTAGAGCTCTTTGTTCATAATTCGATCAATAACTGTACATTCATAATTCCATACTGTAGATTCATAATCTCATAACTGTAGATTCATAACTCCATAACTGTAGATTCATAACTCTATAACTGTACATTCATAACTCCATAACTGTACATTCATAATCTTCGAAGCTCTATATTCACAATTTTAAAGCTCCATGATCATAATTTTATCACTATATATGTTCATAATTGTAAGTTCATAATGTTAGAACTCTGTGTTCATAATTTCATAATTGCATAACTGTACATTCATAACGGCATAACTCTACATTCATAACGGTATAATTGTACATTCATAATCCAAAAAAAAATAATAATAATAACGCCGTTAACGGCAAAACGCGCGCGATTTTTTTTTTTTTTCAACTAAATGACGCGTTTTTTTTAAAAAACGACGTCATTTTGGGCCCGTGTCTACAATTCATTGTGGACACGGGTCCAGGGCATAATTTGCCAAAGTTTTGGGGGGTGGGGTTTGGTGATTAAGACGTCGGCCTCATCATAGAGCAAGCCAACCAACCCGCCAATATTAATAATTTAAAAATAATTTTTATTTAAATTTTGGCATTTAATGTTTTAAAACTTTATGCTAATTTCGTCTTGAATCATCCGGACTCATTCTTGACTTTAAAACTTTGTATTAATGTTTATTTTTAACTATTGAAGTTGTTTTATTGTCATACTATTTGTTTTTAAAATATTATTTTAGTATATTTAAATTTTTTTTTTTGGTAATGTCGGTGGGTTGGTCATATGCCATGGCAAGCCAACCAGTATATAAATCCTCTCAATTAAGCTCATTGCACAAAAATGTACAAAATCTCCCAGTTACAAGATATATAAATCTTTATTAAAAAGAAATGTTCATATTCACTATATATACGACATTCATGATATATATCGAATTATTATTGATCATGCTAAAAATTATGATAACAAATGACATGAAAGAAAAAAAAAATTATAAAATATAAAATACAATTTTGATAAGTACGAAGTATAAATTTATTTTTTTTTAAAAAAAAAACTTTAATTTCACCAACACGGAAGACTAATCCAGCGTGCTGGGTTACGTTCATGCACATAACTACAGCCTACAGACATAGGAGCCAATGGTCAATTCTACGTAGAGACCAAACTTGTCTGTTTGGAATTTTAGATCAAATAAAAAACACATTATTTGTTTTCAAAAAAAAAAAAAAAAAAAAAAAAAACACATTATTTTTTAAGTTGTCGTGATCCTTAAACTAAACACTACTTTTTGTATGTAGACAAAGTGTACTACCCAATAGGCTATAGCGCAGCTGTAAAGTTTATCGATACTGAAATTTTGTTCTGTTCCTAGCTTGTACTAATGACCTTAGCTTGTGGTTTAATGTAAAAGAGGATGGCTTGTCTTGACTTAATGTAAGAATTTAAGTTTTATTTAATATATCTTTGAAAAGGGCATATCATATCATTATTTTAAAAAATTATTGGTAGCATAAATTAGGTTAGATTAGGGTTTAGAGTTACATTGTAAAATAAGGGATAAGGAGATATTGATTGTATTGATAGAAGGTGATTAGGGGTTCGGTCATTTAGAAGGGTCAAAATTGTTTGATCAAGTAGGTGATACAATAGTTAATACAATGAATAGTACGAAGTAAAAGATGAATTGCATATACGAGACAACCACACATGTCCTATTTATACTCCGTCTCTAATTAGTATGGTGACTCAATTGACCAACAAATGCTGGATTTTTAGTAGTCTGTTGGTGAGACTTGATCCTTAGTTTGTTGTAACAAATTTCATTCATGCGACCAATTGATCGAGCTGCTCATGCGACCAAAAAATAAAAATAAAAATGTTATTTTCCTACTTCCCCTTATCGTCAATAGATACAGGACAGGGAAATTAATGGCTGCTGGAACAAAACTACGTACGGGAAACATTAACATTATATTCGGCAGCAGAATGTGTTGTGTCTTTGTGTAAAGAGCATTATCTTAAATTACACAGAAGGGTCTGACTTTTTTATACAATGGAAAGAAGAAAAAGAAAAACACTACAATAATTTGTGTCATTTAGCGTCAATAAAATCAATAAAGATAAAATTATATGAGAGGTGTTTCAAAAATTCGAAGCCTATGCTCCATATATAATTGTGAAAGTTCGTCATCTAATCATATACAATTTAACTTCTCTATAAATATGAATAATCATATTCGTTATTTGGATTATTATTATTATTATTATTAGATTATGTCTTCTAATATGGAGGGTAAGTCTAGCCCATAGTGATGTAGGCACAAATAATATTGGTTAATTGAATGGGTTAGATTAGGCTCTTGAATGCCAAGACCTTGTGGTCTAATAGTACTGGGGTTGGACTCCCATATGGGAGGTTGTGAGTTCGAGCCTCATATGGGCTCGTGCTGCTTGATTGATTGCTTGAAAGTTGAAAACCCAAGTCTTGGAAGAATCATCAAGTCTGTGCTACATATACTGGGCAATTGAGTTCGTTCGGGACAGGTGGGCCAAGAAGCTCTAGGCAATTCTCACGATCACGGTCGATCATGGCTTTCTTACATCTTGATCGACTCAATTAAAGAAAGGCGTCGAGAGTGAAAGCCAATTCACTATCAATCGATTGACATTGTTATTATATTGAGACATGCAAAACCTATTATAACCACCTATATTATTGCTGATAGACATCCCTCACTACACAAATTACCTCTAATCACATGTTAGCATGCTATTAGGGCAATCCTAGCTATAGGATTTTTTTCATAGGGTTTTTTGTGCCAACTAAGAGAGATTGAAGAGGAGAGGGGAAAAAATGAAGAAAAAAAAAAAGCTGAACCTATGTAATAGCAAGGGGTGACATGCTTACAATCTTGTATTCACAATTCTTACCAATACGTACAACTATCTACTTGTTGCTTTCATCAAGACTACGTGGTCTAATGGTATTCAGGTTAGACTTTCATTTGGAAGGTTACCAGTTTGAGCCTCTACAATGTAATAAGGCCAGTAACATTCAAAAAAAGAAATCTACTTGTTGCTTTCTTAAACATATTCCAGTATTAATATTAATGTCACCCGCAAACCAAAACTGCACTAGAAACCCATATGCAACATAGTCGACTAAAAATGTGTTGACAAGAATCAAACATATGATATTCAAGTATAAAAATATGGTCCATTCGTGTTCACTATGCATTGTGGACACAAGTCCAAAATGACGTCGTTTTCCCTGAAAACAAAACGACGGCATTGGAATTTTGTCTCGCCGTTAACGCGTTATTCGTTTGTGGACTTATGAATGTGCAGTTATGAAATTATGAATATACAGTTACGCAATTATGAATGTACAGTTATGGAATTATGAATGTACAGTTATGAGATTATGAACACAGAGCTCTGACATTATGAACTTACAATTATGAACATATAGTGATAAAATTATGAACATAGAGCTCTAAAATTGTGAACATAGAGCTTCGAAAATTATGAATTTACAGTTATTGAATTATGAATGAACAGTTATTGAATTATGAATTTACAGTTACGGAATTATGAATTTACAGTTACGGAATTATGAATGTACAGTTATGAAATTATGAATGTACAATTATGAAATTATGAACACAGAGCTCTGACATTATGAACTTACAATTATAAATATATAGTGATAAAATTATGAACATATGCTTCTATAATTATGAAAATGGGAGAATGAGCGTTGAAGAGAGCTTTTGTGTGAAGAAGAAATGGAAGCTTGATCGACGGGAAACTCGCAAAAATGAATGCTTTATCATCAGGAAAGAAGCGGTCTAAATTTTATTTTTTTTTTAAATGATGGAAGATAACGGTGCCACTTACGGTACCGTTATTGTGTCCACAATGTATGCTGGACACGGGTTCATAGCATAACGATTGCTTAATCACGGTTTTGCCACAAGATTTTCTTTTACATCAATCGTGTGTAACAAAAAAGATATGGCTTTGTAGCTTGCTTGTGGGCTTACGGTCCATGTTAAGTTTATTCAGATTGTGATGGCCTAGTTGCCTTAACTGTTTTGTTTGTATTGGACAACTATTATCGTATGCCTTACATTGTACCTCTTATGTTGTTTTTTGCTTGAAATTTTCGCTTTTCCAATAAATTTATTCCGGCTTTGACGTTTTAATTATGTTCGTGTTGCGAGTCATGGGTGTAGAGTTGTCGAGCCTTTACAAGTCCAAACACCAACACAGAGTACTCCAATAAGTTTGACAATAGCAAACACTTTTTTTTTTTTTATGAGTAAATATAAATTGGGCTGCAAAAATAATAAGGCTACTCTATTTTTTTTTTAATGCATTCTATTACATTGTAGTATCTGTTTAAACATACTTTCTCAACCTAATGAAGCACAAAAAGTTAACAACGCCTCCACTAAAGCTCGATCTCATGACCTCCTACATGAAAGAGGTCACTACATATCATCTAAACACAAGGTGCTTGACAACCTACTTTATTTCTATTAAGCACTATGAGTCAATATTTTATTAGAGTTCAAACTTGTAACATTCTATTTGAGAAAGCCACGGAAGTGCCATTAAGCTAAAAGTTACATACTCATTAAGATGATTAAAACATAACTAATATTGAATATATATTCATAAAAAATTAAATTACATAAAATATAATTTCAACAAAATTAAGTTGAGTAAATTATATTTCATATTAACAAAATTAAAGAAAAAATTTTAATTTATGAGAATACAAATGATTATAGTGCATGAATAAAATTTGGTGTAAATTGATTTGAGATTGAATAAAATTTGGTGTAACAATATATTAAGAATATTTAATTTTGATATAAAATTTGGTGCAGAATTTGATGTTTTAAGTTGGAAAGGGTTTAAAATAGAAATAATTTATAAATTTGATGACTTGATTACATAGATAGCAAATCTCATTCTTAATTATTGATTAAATTAGTTTTCTAGGGTCAATCGTATACTACTCCAAGTAACCCCGTCCCACAAAAAAAAAAAAAAAAAAAAAAAAAAAAAAAAAAGAGTATTACATGGAGAACTATAATAGAAATGAAATAAACTCAAAAGGGTAGCTCAAGTGGTAAATGAGTTTACCGGATCTATCTGAACTGTTAAATGGATAAAGAAAAACCCGAATCACATTATGATTTACACCAAAAAGAATAAAAGTGAAATAAAAAAAGCAATAATGTTTAAATTTAATTAAAAGGCTAAAATAATAATAAAGATGTCTTAATCGCATTGCGCACAAGCTTAGATTTGACTCTTACGCCAGTTGGACCAAAAGCACTGTGAAAGACAAGCTATCTTCATCCATTTGTTCCATATATCTCTCCCTTCTTTCTTGCATTTCGAGCATCCAAATCCAACTCAATCATTACACTGCACTCAGCGACCCTCACCACCTACATTATATCCCATTCCCAACTTTTGTTTCTGTTATGCAACACCCTACCAAAATATATATGTCCCCATTAATTTATCTAAGTCACACAAATTTTTAAATTAAGGTTCTATTTATCTAAAAGAATATACTTAATTAAGCACTGCGTGTATTATGTATGTTTGTTTAAGTATTAGCCGAAGAGATCAGGAAAGAAAATAATCAAATATGATCTTATAATACATACAAAGTATATAATTGGACAATAAATTATTGAATTGGATTCAAGTAGTTATACAAGACTAACAAAAACTTTCATCGATCTTATGAATACTAAGACAAATTAAGATGGATAAATGAGGTTAACTCAAAATACCAAACTAATTGAAGTAACTGCATAATTGAATTCATTAATAATTAATTCTTGTCAAAATAAAAACTACATACACAAATATCGTCTTATACAATATATAGATTCAAAACAATAGTAAATTTTTTGCAAGAATTATTAGTAGACATTGGAGGAAAAGCTTGATTACAACTTAAATGTAAAATGGTACACAAGATACCAGTGTTCAACTCAATTAAGAGATTTAGTTTTTAAACAGTATATATACTATTCTCCTATTTTCTTGAGTGGCGAATAAGATGAATTTAATTTCTTTTTCTTCAAGAGGTGGTGATTATACAGCTAAAAATCATGGACAAGCTTAGAGTTACTAAAGGTAAAATCATTTATGTACCAAGACCACTACTTTTGAGCTTATAGAACCATTCTTCAAGTATCACCTCAAAATAAAAACCAACGAAATTGACCAAAAACTCCTCAAAACTTGTTCCTGCTTTTGCTTTTTGTAAGAGCCGAGTCAACTGTAGTGGAGGATCCACAGGTAATCAGGTGCATCACGACACGTGAAGCCTTTACTCTCCCACTCGAAAGATCATTCTCAGCCGTGAGATCTCTCGTGAGAGTACGTCGATGAACGTTTCCTGATCTACTCACGCCGTCCGTATACTCCCAGCTAGATATGGATGGCGGTGAAGGCAGCTCTTCTCTGCTCAGCTCCACACTCTTGCTCCCCTGCGCCGCCTCTCTCGTCCTCCCTCCTCGTCCCCCCGGCCCCAGCCGACTCTCCGCCTTCTGCGTCCCAACTTCCGCCGCGAATTTTGCCGAGAATTCTCTGCTCGACTCGGATTTGTACATTGCTCTGTAGTCGTTTTGTGGATTATCGAACGAGTCCCAGGACTGATTCCTTGTCCTCCTCTCCGCGATCGACGCCGGTAATTTGTGAATCTCGCCGGAATTCTCCGTCTTCGACGCCGTTTCGCACATTCGGAAGCTCACCGACCTCGGAAGAAGCTCCGATCCTTTCAGAACGTAATCTCGACCGTTCACAGGATATATCAAATCGTCCTCCGATAGATCATGCCAAACGTATCCATTTTTGTAGCTCCTGCTCAAAACGATCAAATCAATGTATTGCTTCAAATAATCCATCCTTCATTCTCGATCAGCTAAAAAAAACTCACCGCTTCGAAGACCACGAGAACATAGACGCCATGCCTTCTCCTCTCAGAACATTCAGTCTATTTATCACATCTTATTATACCACAATAAAAAACGTAAATTAGAACAACAATCTCAGAATTTCTCAAATCCGGAACGCAATTATGCGATAAAATCCACAATATGCGAGTAGGATTTGGATTACCTTTGAGATAGAGGCCTTCAGGGGAAGAGAGTGGAACTTGGATGAAATGCGGATGCTCGAACTGGCCATTTCTGGAGAGATAATAGATCACCGGAACTCTCTTCTCGGTCTTCGACGACGAGGATTTCGGTTCAGTCCATACTACAGTTCTCTCGGGGCTGGTTTCTCTATCGCTGTTCCATTTCTTCGGTAACAGAAGCTCCGTGCTCCCTCTGGAACTCGAATTCGCCGCCATCAATGCTTGAGATTCGAGCTATCAAGGACAGCGATGAATTATGCAGGAGAGAGATGGTATATATAGCGAGTGAAATACGCAGTAAGGTTTTTGGGGATGGGTGGCGGGTATATTCGGTTAGTATAAGGAAAAGTGTGGGTTAGCTACAAATCCGGTGTAATTTTATTTATTTGTATTGGTCTTGCTTGGTTAGGTACTTAGGTTAGAGTGTTAAAAAAAAAAAAAAAAAAAAAAAAAAAAAAAAAAAAAAAAAGAGGAATTATGAATAGGGAATGTGATCAGCAAGTCTATTACTCCGTATAATTTAATTTGATAGGTGTCGTGTAAAAAAGTTTGATATTTCTTAAATAAAAAATAAAATAGTGTAATTTAATAATTGTTAGTTTTATTGACCATCAGAGTAGTCAAATGACATGCCAACATGATATATTGAATAAATAATAGATAAACTATGGAGAAGAAACAAAATAAATAGACACGCAATATTTTTAATGTGGAAATCGAATGGTGAAAATCACGGACCTTTTTGGCAGTATTAAATCATCCATTATATTCTGTACGTAGCTTGTACATGTATAATTTGTGTTCTCTAGAGAGATGTAGATGATTGATTGACTAAGGCTTTCTATAGTGGAGAAATAAGTAGAGTATATGATAATCGGGATCTATATGGTAATTCTGTATTTTTGGTGAGATAGGGTAATTAATGAGATATGGTGCTACTCTTGCCGAATGGAACGTTTATGGCGGCGCGAGATGGAAGGCTACCAACTTGCTTCTCACCATTTATGGCAGAAGCCTTAGCTTGTAAGGAGGCTCTATCCTGGCTGCTCGAAAGGAATATAGTGGATGTGGATCTACTCACGGATTGTTTGCAACTCTGGAGTGCCGTGCGCCAGGAGCCAACGACTATAATGTCTTAATTATGCGGGGGTCACAGTGGACCAATGTAGGTCGTTGATGGCTTTATTTACTTATTGTTCATTAAGTTATGTTTCTAGGCAGGTTATTTGATCACATGCGCATGTTTTAGCTTCTCTAGCTTTTGGTCAGGACCAATTTATGGTATGGGATTCAATCCCTCCTGACTCTATTGCAGCTTTGCTTCATTAATACAATCACTTATTGGTTGGCTTTCAAAAAAATGAGATTGGAAAGTGATTTTAGAAAGGAGAACGATAATTTAGGGGTAAGAGCTAATTTAGGTTGACCTTGATCGTCCTTCCATAATTGCGTAGTTGCCATACAATTTCTTCCTTTATCAACCGTTGATTTTTTTTTTTTTTTTTTGAGTACTACTGACTCTGTTACAATGCAGTATCTGTTCATAACTACTTTCTCAACCTACTGAAGCACAAAGAGTCAATTTCGCCTTCATTGAGGTGGGCCGAGAGAGCAACTTGGTGCCACTAGACCACATGTCCTTGACAATAGCATTGAATATATTAGAATTGAATTTATAATATTTTACTTAATGTTGCAACTGTCACTGGATCATAAAATAAAGCAATATAAATGAACATAATTTTGAGTATAAATCTTTGAGTGACGTATAATTATCATTTATATAGTTGAATCTAGCAATTATATCTCATATTGTAGCTGAAAAAATGTCACCACACTCATAAGTCTCCGGACATAATTCAACTGATCAACTAACTTAAAATAAGTTTATAAAATTTTACTTTGTCAGCAAATATAAAGTGTAGAGTTCAAATCAAATTCAACCACAGATCAAAAATAAATAAATTTGAAGTATAGATTTGGAGACATAATAGACCAATTGAGGTATATCAACACATCACATGATTTATCATCACCACCTGCAAAATAAAAGTATAGTATATAATACGCCCTTAATTTTGTGATTTAAACTTATAAATGAAAAACATACTAAAATAATCACAAGATGGACTTGAAAGATGATTTGAAGGAATATAATCTTGTGCAATAATCTCATGCCATCATATGGTTTCCACAGGATTGGATTTAACTTTCAAGTTTGAACTAGAAGCTAAGATTAGAAAGATGATTGGATCAGGAGGATCGGAGCACTAACTTAATTAAATTATTTATCACGAGGCTGCTACGTGAACCTTAATTGTCATGTTTTGATGAACAACACGAGAAGCAAACCCTGAGAATTGAATACTTAGACTATAAGTCAAATTGCAGGAAGATATGCCTACTCATTGTACTAGTACTATACACTAGCCACTAGGATACTATAGTCTACATACTCCGATCCTATGATTTATGATAAAGTTTGCAATTGTTACTAGAATGTGTATTTTGGGTGAATCCCAATTTGTAATCTTAATTGGCAAAGAATCACAAGGAGGCTGGTAAACCAATCTATGTTGCCTATAGCTGATCGGCTCAAACCAATTAGGCCAATAGACCGTTCCCATCCATGGGGCCTTGGAACATACTTTATACGTGGGGGTAACTCCCGTCAAGATTGCTAAGGATACAAACTTGTAACCACAAGGTCACAAGTTCAAACCCCAACCTTCTTGATTTGAGCCGGTCAATTACACTCTATATCGGAGAATTTCTCTGTTTTGGTTACAAAGTTTAAACTTGAAACTTTGGTAAGGAAAGTTAAGTTTGTTTAGCTATATATAGGTTGTTGGATGCTATGCTAATCCATCATATACAAAAGAGACATATGGGAGAGATTACGGGATGAGAAATCACATTCCAGAACACAATGATACGGAGAAGAGAGGTGTTGTAGGGCCAACAGCCAACATTTTATTAGCTTAGGATATAACAACAAAGCTATGTCGGGCCGAGATATGAGGCTCTTAATGTTGGGGATTCAACATTTTAAAAGAATAAGAATATTACAACAAAACTAGACAACACATATAAATCTAAACATCTATCAGCTTATTCTAATTTTTAGCCATATATAGAATTCTCCAAAAAAAAAAAAAAAAAGTTTGAAAATCTAATCCATTTAAAATAGTGTTTTTTTGTCATGTACTTCTTATTAATTAGATGAAAGAAAGAAAAACGAGTAATCTCAGTACTAATAATTTATTGATATTCTCATATTCATAATGTTTTTAAATAGTACGTGTTACTATTATGTATTTTTCGTTGATCACGGGTTCTAACATTTTAATTGTCATCATTGACCATAATTATTGGAGTAGGTTGAACTGTTACTTCCACCGCTATATGTTGCATCATCATTCTTTAATAATGCCATCAAGTTTAGCTTCACTTTGTTAATAGCAAGATTAATGGTGATTTATAATTTTAAAAAAAAATATTTTTTCTAACTTTTTAGAAGAGAGAGAAAATGTAAAAAAAAAAAAAAAAAAAAAAAAAAACATAGTGGTTGCTAGTTGAAAACTACCCAGCGCTCATGCACGTCCGCATAATGTGTTCTAGCATTTAAAAAAAAAAACATTTCCAAAAAATTCGAAAAAAATTAACATAATAATAGAGTACACTATAACACTATGTAATAACACTATATATCCATTTTACTAGTACCATTAAAAAAAAATATTATTATTATTACATATGATAACTCGATTTTTTTAAATTATAATCCATATGACCTAATATAATGCTTGTATAGAATAATATTATACTTGCTCGGATTGAAAAAATAAATTACAATTTTTTTCTTCTAATAAAATTCTTTAAAAAAATGCATTTATTATTTTATTTTGGGTGCAATAACACCAATAAGTACTTGCAATGAGGGGGGACCGGAAGCTCGCGGACCGAAGCAGACTTAGAAAGTTCCAAAGCTTACAATTCCCAAAGTCAAAAACTGCCCCGTGAAAGTGGGTTTTGAAAGCCACAATCAGGAGATGATGTCATGGCTACCTTTAAAAAAAAAAAAAAAAAAAAAAAACTTCCTTGTTATGGGGAGTAATTTGTTTGATATGATTAGTATATAATGTAATCTTGTGATATGATTTAATTGATTGATTATTCTAAGAAAAGTTAATACTTCTTCTTGTCAGATTTATTATTTATTAATCAAATTAATTATTTCTTCATTGCTTATTTTCTTTATTAGTTCTTAGTTATTTTTAATTTTTTTTGGTTTGTAATACTTTTTATTTAGTTTTTAAATATATATAAATTTTATATACTAAAAAAAATTTAATATTATGAAAAATTAAATTCAAAATTATATCAATCAAGTCTCATTAATTAAACTAAACACATAAAATCAGATAAACGGAGTATCTTATTTCTTCTATATATTTTTGAGGAATTTGTAAGCAGATGCTGAGATGGGTCACTTTCACAATATATTTCTTTCATTAAAATTTTAGGATAGGCAATTGAGGTCTCAAAATTAAGGTGTAATTTTTTTTATTTTTTTAAATATAGTATATATATATATATATATATATATATATATATATAATATTACAACTATTTGATTAAATATATTCAAAGGGTTTATACATTCTAATGAAGTGCACGTCACCAAGCTAGTCCAACAATGCCAAATTAAGCAGAAGAAGGGGGTGTAACCTGGTTGTCTAGGAATACATGTTTATGCTCGTACAGAAGTCAATGGGTAAGGCCAGTTGATATAGGCAGTCACGGCGTCATGCTTACCCCTTGGTACAAACATTTTTTTAAAAACATATTTATAGAAAAGTCTATATTCACTATCTGAAGGTGCATTATAGATGAATCTCGCCTTGTAACTCGTACAAATGTCAATGGGTAAGGCCCATTGACATAGGCAATCATGGCGTCATGCCCACCCCTTGGTACATACAAACGTTCTTTTAGAAAAATATTTATAGAAAAGTCCACATCCGCTATTTAAAGGTGCATTATTGATGAATCCCGCCTTCTGACTCGTACAAAAGTCAATGGGTAAGGCCCGTTGACATAGGCAGTCATGGCGTCATGCCCACCCCTTGGTACAAACGTTCTTTTAGAAACATATTTATAGAAAAGTCCACATCCGCTATCTGAAGGTGCATTATAGATGAATCCCGCCTTGTGACTTGTACAAAAGTCAATGGATAAGGCCCGTTGACATAGGCAGTCATGGCGTCATGCCCACCCCTGGTACAAACGTTCTTTTAAAAAAATATTTATAGA